ATTTGCCACAGAAATATCGGCCGGTTCTTTTTGTTTCCTTGTTTGTTTGTTTGTTTTTTCTTCTTTACTCTCTAGGGACATATGGAAGGAATGTTTGCGAGGAAATCTGGTTCGCCAAAATAATATATATCTTAGCATGACGGATATATTTCTGTAGGCATTTTTTGTATCTTATGAATTTCGGGAAGACTACGACCTTAGGGGATCAGGGAGTCGATAGCAATAAGACAACTTTTTTTTTTTACTATTATTGATTACAGCCAATTCGATTGAACGAAATGGCAGTGTTTTCTTTTACACGGCGACGGGGAGGAGCAACATTGGTGCCCGCATGTTGGACTTGGCAAGCCAGCATGGCGATGTACGGGTGCAGCTCGCCTTCGTTGATGAACACGGGCCGTTGGATGCGGTGGTAGCCGCCGCCGCAACAATGACGGGCTTACGCTTGTTTTCAGGAAACATCGCCATGCACTGGGAGGAGTCGACCGTTGCGGGGCACTTTGCGAATCACCGGGCGCCTCAAGTACCTAATTTCGAGGTTCGAGTGCTGCTGCCCATCGTGTGTGTGCTGCCCGGGAGTTGGGGGTCCAGCAGGGGCTGATCATTGCTGGAGGGCAGGGACTGAGCACCGACTACGCCAGTGCCGTCGCGGACGTTGCGGATCGGAGTGCTCAGCTTTACTCTCAGGTGGAAGAGGCGCATAATTACTTGTCGGCACGCGGATCTCACATTGCGGTGGCCGGCGGCCTTCTTGCGGGACGAGGAGACGCCGTGTCAACGCGAGGCGCCCACCTCTCGGAGAAGGCCACCAGATGGCGTAAACACACAGCCGCACCAACGGCATCGTTTGATGGCTGGGGGCGTGCCAGCATCCACGTTTCCCCAACGCAATCTCACGGGAGAGAGACGGCGGGTCAACACCCATACGTCTCGGGGCAATTTTGGGCGACCACACCTCCCTCACTCGATGCCTTTGCCTTCCCGCACCTTCCCCTTGGAAGATGACTCCGGTGCAGAGGATCAGGTACTGCATTTCCCTGCATTGGACGTTGACACTTGGGCCCTGCGTGTATGGAATGACGTCGTCTCCGGAGTCCTCGTCGACCTCCGATGCGCATACGGTTATTATTTGCGCCAAGTGGACTCTCAGGTTCAAATGGCCATCGATGGTTTGGTGTCGTGCAGACGCGCACTGGAGATAGATCGGGAGCCCACCGATCAGTTCATGGATTTTGGCAGGGCCCTACCGCAGACCTTTCGGATGCTGATCGCGATAACAACCGACCCCAGCATATCCCGCCCTCCACACTTCGTGCCCGCCTTCACATGGCCGTTCACGAGGCTGACGAACACGCGAGGGCGACCCAGCCTCTTGTGGAGCGGCGCGTAACCCAACAAAAACAACGATTGTCGCGAAGTCAGTTGTGTCGTATTTATGGACACGACGCATCTACACGCAACGTGCGCAGCGCAGCCTGTAGGGATTACTCGCAGCGCAGTCGGCCATTAAAAAACGGCGAGGGGCTGCCGGCTGCTTACGAGGGCGGACGAAAACAGCCCCATCCATTCCACCACCTCCCACCAATCCGCACACAAGACGTCGCACCGTGCCGCAGACACTTCATCCGATATTTTGAGTTGCCAGACGCAATCGACGAGAAGGGCAATGGAGCTTATCCGCCAACGACGCTTGACTGTGGTACGACGAATCACCGACATCCCCGCCTTGGACAGGCTATATGAGGAGAGCAAACGAGGTCGTTCGAGAGATGTGTGCGCCGTCAACGTGGCAGCAGAGAATGTTTCTAGCGGGCAATTTACAGCCTTTTGCTGCACGCACAAACGGCCGATCAACGCGGAGAGTTGTGCGGCCTTTTTGACGGCCATATTAGATGTGGCGACATCGACCCGACGGCAGCACGCCAGGATGCTGCGGTCCATGTTGCAAATGGATTGAACCCCGCTGGACGTGGCGATTCTGGTGCCACAAAAAATTGCGGCGCGATAAGAGGCGAGGCAGGCGCGCCCCGTGACAGAGGAAGGGATGAATCAAGTTATCCGCAGCCGGACCGATTGGAAGCAACGTGTTGTTTTCCGACTTGCGTGGATAACGGCGAGCTGTTGGTCCGAGATTGCGGCCTTGACAGCCAAAAATTTCATAATGGAGGCGGACGGGACCATAATTTTGGATTGGTCCGTGGCGCCGAGGACAGCGAGGGCGGATCCCCACCGCGCCTTTCGGTCCGTCGGGATACGAGGGCAGGAGGACGTGTTAGACACTATAAAGTTATGCAGGACACTTCGACGCAACGAGAAACTCACGAATCTGACGGCTGCCCACGTGGAGCGAGCTCTGGCTCCTTGGAATGCCACGGCGCATTCCACAAAACGGGGTGCGCTGAGGCACGCTGCTCCAATCGTGGAGGCATACAATTTGGACCCACACGTGATCTCGCAGTTGGCGGTGCACGTCGATCCGTTCGGCCTTCCCCAGAACACAGTCCGATATTTGGGGAGGTACACCGCAATGCTGACCCAGGTGTTGCCGCCGGTCGCATTGATATGAAGAGAGAAACTGCGGAAGGGCAGGAACCCTGGTTGAGAGCGGAGGAGCGTTTTCCCATGATTTTTGGTATCATGCTGCTACAATAACAAGACGCGCGCCAAGGAAGCGCCTGGCCACTTCACAAGAGGAACGAACCATCCCGCTACAGCAACAAGTCAGCCTGCTCGTATTGAACCTGGAGTGGATCCAGAGCCGGTTGAGCCCGGCGACCTTGGAGAGACTAATGCAAGTATGTGGGCACGTTGGGCGGTCCCCTTTACCTTTATCCTCCTCCGGTAACGCGCGCTAAGGCTCACGGAGGATTCCAGCAGCTGAAGCGCGATTAATGAAAGAAGCGGGAATAATCGAGGACGCTTCTTCCACAGTATAAAGCGGCGGATGGATAATGCCCTTTTCTGTGGTGGAGGAGAAAACCCACCGGTTTGCGACGACGATGGATCGCGTGGCCACGTGAAAAGAAGAGAGACGACCCTTACGAGGCCAATGTTCCTCTTTTACACATTTCCCATTATTTGCCATCTGTGATGACTGAGGCCGCCTCCTGCGTGGAATTAAAAGCATCCTTTTTTCTTTCTTTGTTGCTGCGGGGACTCGGCATCTCTTTTGATGTCGCGTGGAGGACGGCACGCTGGTGGAGCTCACACGGCTCCCAATGGGATACAAGGCCAGCCCAGAAATTCTCCAGATTATTACTTCGGCAATTGCGGGGGTGACGACGGTGGTTGGCCCTCTCCGGGCTGCAATTCCATTGGTGCGTATCGACGTATGGATCGATGATATACGCATTGCAGTGTCGAAAAGCGATGTGACATTGTGGGAAGCCCAAGTGCTTCGTAATGCGGATGGCTGTCACGCCACGATGGAGGAGGATCGCGAATCGGGCGCCACGCAGTACACCTTCCTGGGGGTGCGGTTTAATCACTCACATCAGGCGGTGTTCCTGAGTGACAAGTTTGTCCGGTCTGTATGCGCCATGCCGTTGCTGAAGTATTTAACCATCGCGGAAACGGAGGTTATGGCGTCACGCTTTTTGTACGCGGCGGCCATTTTTGTTCAGGCGTTTATGTGCCTACTGCTTTCACATCAAGGCAGTGCGACGACGATTATCGGCACTTAACCGGGGGATTGTGCAGGAGACATCCCCGGCAAAACTTCCACCATCAGCGATTGGTTTGGGCGAGAGATTACTAAACATCATCGAGAAAATAATCGTAAGCGAATCATCAAGCCCACGGAAAAGGCATCGGCCGCCATCATCACGGATGCATAGCTCCGTGGATGGGGAGCCGTTTTCATTCCAGACTCCGGCGACATTAGAACTGCCGGAAGAGAGTGGGAGAAGAGCCTTTTCTTATCATGCAGGCGGAGGTTCGCGCGGTACGCTTAGCCTTATCGGCTTTTTCCGCCTTCTTGTTGCCAACCATGGACGTTTGGGTGGAAAACACTTTGCTGCAAGGAGCGGCGAATAAAGGCAGCTCAAAATCACAGACCATGACGTGGGAGCTGCGGCGGATATATGAGTTTTTGGACTCTCACGGATTAAAGGCATCCTCTACCTACGTGCGGTCTGCAGAAAACCCCGCAGACGGCATGTCACGCGGTCGTGTTTTTACGCTTCAGGACTTGTGAAGGGGTGGAACTTGCGAAGGGCAGCGGCGGGGTCTTTTGGCTGGAGGACCCCAAAGTCTGCCACTTCTTAATTAATATATATATATCCAATCCGAGTAGAGTGAGCGGGCCACAACTGTGGCTAATGGATGATGTATATATACATACATTTGCTTGGTGTAAAGTTTGGGGATGTGGTGAACCCACTCTTATTCCATTTACTTCTCATTTCCGTCTAGTTTGTTTTCTGTGATTGATAACCTCAGGATGAGGAAAGCGGCCCAGGTGAATATTTATTTTGTGTCACTGAGTGAAGCACTGCCATTCCGTTGAAGGCGGGATGGCCGTGCAAATTTTGGCGCCGCGTCGTGGATGGGTGAGGGCCCACTTCAACGTGTGGCTGGCGGGGTGGGTGCTCGCTCCGGGTGCGTTGTGTGTTGGCTGCGGGGATGTGGCCGCGTCCCGTTGGCCGTGAGAATGTTCTTGAGGCGGTGGGTCTCTTCTCCTCGTCCATGGTGGGTGGCTGCTGCCGGTGCGCACTGGTTTCCCTTGCAACTCGCTGTGTTTCTCCTCCATGACTTTTTCCATTTCCTTCACACACAAAAAAAAAGGAAGTAAAACAAGCGCGAACCGCCACTGTGCACTCTGAGGGCTCTGAAAGGAACAACAACAGTACACACACACACCGCCCACACACACGTATTTATATACTCTCAAGCGTTGCTGCTGTGAAGGCGCCCCGCACACACAACCGTACTCGCGTGACCGGATCCAGCGAAAGGAGGAAGGAAGGAAGGAAGGAGAGGGTGGGCATCAGAGGCCTAACATGTCCCGGCATCTCTTCCATTCTGCAGTGCTGCTTCTCCTCGTCGTGTTATGCGGCACCAGTGGTGCTGCGCACGCTGTGCAGGCAGGGACTGACGTTGATCCATTCATAGGGATCGGATGGAAATCCTCTCAATGGGAAGCCCCTACAAAAGCTAATGAGAAATTATTCTCGCTCCGCGTTCCCAGCCTTGTTGAGGTGAACAATGACGTGTTCTTCGTTGCTGAAGCGCTGTGCAAGGGAAAAGGAGAAAGCTGCAGCCGTACTGGGATTGCGTCAAGGCACCTCGATCTAACTGATGATAAGCCAAAGGAGATATTGACGGAGGACACAAGTTTGGTGATGCAGTTTCCAGAGGGTGTTGCGACGGGTACTGTCGAGGCAAAAGAAACAATGCGGCCAACGACAGTTGTGTCTGGCGACAGTGTCTACATGCTTCTGAGAAATCAGAGCGTTACACCGTCGGTGGGTAAATCGGCTAAAGCACGTGACTGGGGGCTTTTGCTGGTAAAGGGAAGCGTCAGTGGTGGCAATGAAATCACGTGGAATGAGACTCATGCGGTGACGTTTGGAAATGATGAATATGTTGCTAAATTTTTGACCCAGTTGGTTTCTGGCGGCGGATCGGGGATTAAGACAAAGGACGGTACGCTCATGTTTCCCATGCAGGCCACAGATGAGGACGGAAAGACTTCATTGCTGTCCATGCGCTTTGATAAGTCAGAGAAGAAGTGGAAGCTTTCGCACGAAACGGATGTTGATGGCTGCAGGGACCCGACCATCGTCGAGTGGGGGGATGACAGATTCCTCATGATGGCTTCTTGTGAGCGAGGTTACCGTGACGTGTACGGATCCACCGAGAGTGGGAGGAATTGGTTTCCATATGGTGAGACACTTACTCGCGTGTGGGGCAACTCACTTGATCGAAAGGGGCACGGCGTCCAGAATGGCTTCATCAAAGTGACGATTGAGAAGAAGGATGTGATGCTCGTCACCCTGCCAGTTTATTCCAAGGACAACAGGGAAAGCAATAAACAAAAGGGTCGGCTCCACCTTTGGGTGACGGACAATTCACGCGTGCATGATGTTGGGCCGATATCCCGTGAAGATGATGACGCCGCCGCCAGCTCGCTGTTGATGAAGAGTGGGAATGAAAAGTTGATCTCAGTGTACGAAAACAAGAATGGCGATGACGGGTCATACAGTCTTGTCGCCGTGAGCCTGAGGGAGCAGCTGGAGCGGATCAAATCCGTGGTGAAGACATGGGCGGCTTTGGACACCGCCTTTGAATCATGCCGTTCCGGTTCCAGTGCCACTGTCGACCCGAGAAAGAAGGGTATGTGCGCTGGTCCTGTTCCCACTGATGGGCTTGTTGGCTTCTTGTCCGGTAACTTCTCTGATAACAAATGGAAGGACGAGTACCTCTGCGTGAATGCGACTGTGAATAATGGGGAGCCAAGGGTTCCCAATGGATTGACGTTCAAAGGACCCGGAGCAGGGGCGGTGTGGCCTGTTGGCGACATGGGGCAGAATGTGGCGTACTACTTTGCTAACAACAAGTTTACTCTTGTGGCGACGGTGTCCATCCACGAGGTGCCGAAGGAAGGCAGCAGTCCCATCCCCTTGATGGGTGTGATCATGAAAGACACCAGCAGCACGGCGCTCTTTGGTCTGTCGTACACCCACGAAAAAAGGTGGAGGTTCACACTTCCCAATGGAACTTATGAAGGTGCCGACGATGATGAAGATTATGAAGATGATGAAGTTGCCGAAGATTATGAAGATTACGAGGATTATGAACATTATGAATATTACGAAGGTAGGTATAATTGGCAACCAAACAAAACATATCAAGTAATGCTGCAAATGGATGCCAGTGAGTGGGATGTGTACGTTGATAGAATGCAGGTTTTTTCTGGGTACTACAACTGGGATCTGTTTAAAGATCACAGGGTCTCGCACATCTATTTTGGCGCGGAGAATAAGGAGGGTTCGGAAAGCAGCCACTTGACGGTGAGCAACGTCCTGCTGTACAACCGCATAATCTATGGACGTGAAATTGCGAAACTCAGAGCCAGCAAAGTCCCCATTCCAAACCCTGGTGAGGAGTCACGCTCAGTGCCGGAGATTCCGCCGAGGCCCACCGGTGAATTTGAGGCTACTCCAGTCAAGAGAAACGAAGAACACCTCGGCAGCCATGCAGCGTTGGGTAACGGGGATACTGAGAGACAAAATACAAGCCCTAACAATGTTTTGGCGCCCGAGGCTCCCTCTGCATCGATACTCAGTGCCAGCACAGTCCGTATTCCAAGCCCTGGTGAGGAGTTCTCTATTGAGAAAGAAGAGGAAACACCATCATCACCTGAAGAGGAGGAAGCAGAGCAGGAAGTTGAGGAGGCGCATCCACGGCCACAATCCTCCGTGGAAGCACCTGAAGCCAGTGATGCTGCCGCAGTGTCTTCTGGGGGCCGTGGCTTGCACGGAACAAGGGAGGAGGAGACGGAGACGGATGGCAGCAGTGGATCGGCGTCTCCACCGGCCTCATCGAGTGTGGGCACCTCTGCTCATTCGGGCGACGACGGGATGGGTGTCCGTGAAAGCACCTCTCTGCAGGAAGAAGTGCCACCACCTCTTGGGACTGAAGACATTCCGAAGGCCGACGTGGAGCGACCGATCTACGAAGAAGAAGCGACCTCTCCGGAAGGGACCACTGAGCGGCAGACGCAAGAAACCACTGCGTCTTTGGTTGAAAATGGAGACGGTGAGGACGTTGGCACCGCACCGGGTAATGCAAGCACCCAGCCTGGTAAAAACAAGATCCCATCGGAGTCCAACGCCACATTGCTCTCGGACACTGGCATTTTGCCTGGGCACGAGCATTTGAGCGAATTGTCGGCCATGGCTCTATTTGCTGAGAGCACCGTGCATGGGTGTGTGTCTCGGGTGTTGTTGCTGCTGCTTCTGGGGCTGTGGGGCACCGCGGCTCTCTGCTGAGGTGTGAGGGAGGAGTGGAATGGCGGCTTTTCGTGGAACAACAACTGAGCGGCATCCAAGCAATACTCAATGAGTTTTGTCAAGGATACTTTCTCTTTTTTTATTTTTCTTTTTTTCCTTTTTTCTTTACTTTTTTTATTTACTTTTTTTATTTTACTTTTTTTGTTTTTCTTTCCGTTTTATGTTTTTTTCTTTTTTTTATTTTTCTTTTCTTTTCTTTTTTCTTTACTTTTTTTTTTTTCGTTTTGTTTTTCTTTCCGTTTTATGTTTTTCTTTTTTTTTTTTCTTTTTTTTTTTTCTTTTTTATGTTTTTCTTGCTTTTTTTTCTGTTGTTGTTTTTCTTGCTGGTGCTCTGTTGAAATAATCAGCATTCCTATTTGTGTGTTTTCCCCCAAATGGTCGCTTGCTAAACACCGTCACGAGTGACGTGCTTCCCCCTCTTTTGTTTTTTTTTTTTTTGCCCACACGCGGTGCCGGCCTCGTTGCTGTGCGTCCCACGGACTGCACGAAAGGAGGAGTGGAGGAGCAGGCCGGATGCCGCAATGTAATGTGAGGGATGTTGTGTGGGCTGGTGGGAGAGTACAATTCCTTTTTTATTTGTGTGTGTGCGGGCAGTATGTATGAACTCAAGAACACGGTTGTATTGTGCTGCGTGGCACATGAAATGACATATCTGCCGAATCAAATGTTTTTGTTTTTTGCTTCCTTTTTTGCTTTTTAAACTTTTTTTGTTTTCTTTTGTTTCGGTAAATCACTACAGTCTCTTTTCCGTCTCTGCCGTGCCCACTGTTACTGTGTGTCCCCGTGTCCCTTTTATAGTCCCTCTGCTGGCTGTGCTGCTGACACGCCCCCATTTCTTCTTCTTTTTCTTTTCTGCTAGAGGCACCGATGGTCCGCGACGACGATTGTTTTTGCACCCCCTCCGTGCGATGGCACGAGGGTGACTGGGCGCCGGCCTGCTGAGTGCACTCGGGGGGAGCGGATGGCGTGCGCCGTGCCTCAATTGTGAGTGTGGGACGCCACCCGCCACGACCCGCTGTGAGGCGCAGCGCTATTCCGTCGGGGCGGAGAGAAGTGAAGGACTGCGCCGTGGAATTGGATGCGCCCCGTCCCTCTCGTTGCGGCCGTGTGTGTGTGTGTGTGTGCTCTGGATGCCCAAACTCACTTGCCCCGCAAATGCGGCAACGGAAGGATGTGGTTGCGTGGAGGCGCCAATGCCACTTGAATCAAACCGTGCCTGTGGCACACACGCAAACAGGAGGAAGAAAGGAAGGGATTATTTGTCTGGGCTGCTGGCCGGATCCCCAAATTTCCGAAGGAAATAAAATACGACGGAAAGGGAGAATGAGTAAACGGAGAGGCAGTGGGTTCGCCAAACCCTCGTTGCTTGCTCCGCATATATGTGTATATTTATATATTCTGGTGGTCCCTCTCTCGTGACATGTTGAACGTTCTATTCGGATATACCTATTTTTATAGCTTACGAAGTGGCAGACTTTGGGCCTCTCCAGCCACAAGACCCCGCCGCGACGGTGGGAATCAAGAGAGGGGGCGGATGGTACGGCATAAATGAAAATATTCATCCTGACGCTATCGGTTCCTTTGGTTGCTTCCATCGCCGTCTTCTAAAGGAATTCATGCGATGGAGAAACGCAGCTAACCACAACGAGAAAAGCAAACACTTCTTTCACTTTTATAGATTTTCGCTAAACGTATCCTTTCGAGTCTCCTTGTTCTTGTATCGGGTGTTGCTTTTTATCCTCCCAATAATCAAATGGGACTGGAAGAGCCGCAATAACTGGAAAGCGAACACTCAAAAAAAAACAAAAACAAGGGAGAATTAACTGTGCAAGCGAAAAGCAAAGGAATTGTTTTATTAAAAATGGATTTCAACAGCGTCTAAAATAAAACTTTGCTCCTGGCGGGGCTCGAACCCGCGATATTCGGCTCATAAGACCAACGTCCTAACCAACTAGACCACAGGAGCGTGAAACCGCGGAAAGAATTTCGCTATGTCAAAAATTCTCCGCGTTTTTTCAGCTGTCGATCTTGTTTTGCTGTTGGGAAATGGCGGTCCTATAGTGTAGTGGTTATCACTTCGGACTTTGAATCCGAAAACCCAGGTTCGAATCCTGGTAGGACCACTTTTTTTTTTGAAAAATGTTTTTTTCCGAGCGGTAAAACAAATAAAACTTTCGTGATGGGCGTGGGTGATCTAGTGGTTATGATGTCTGCTTTACACGCAGAAAGTCGCGGGTTCGAACCCCGCCCCGCGTATCGTTTTCCAAAAGTTTTAAACGTTTTTTTATTTGCTTTTTGTGTGTGAAATGGGAAAGAATCGTCGCGCGAGCCCTTCTAGCTCAGTCGGTAGAGCGCACGGCTCTTAACCGTGTGGTCGTGGGTTCGATCCCCACGGGGGGTGTTTTTTTCGTTGCTTGTGTTTTTTTTTTCTCTCGTTGTGCAGGGAAGAAAATTTAAAAAAAAAGTAAGGATCATCGAAATTGTGATCCCGCGCAAAATTTACTGCGAACTTGGCGCTTTCTTGATGACGCACTGCAGGTGAGTTAAACGTTACTGCAATCAAAACTCCTTAATGAACGGTTAACGCATTACAATCACACATGGATTTTTTTCCTTTTTTCACGCTAAGAAACAGATCGATGCGGCAATCGTGGTCCAACGGTTAAGATCCCCGCCTTCCAAGCGGGTGACCCGGGTTCGACTCCCGGCGATTGCAAACTTTTTCCCATTTTTTGCAGAGAGGAAAAAAATTGACAAGAGTGGGGTTTGAACCCACGCCTCCGGAGAGATGACGACCTGAACGTCACGTCTTAGACCACTCGACCATCTTGCCCCGTTGTGGTCGTCCGAGTTTCCATTAGCTCAAAAATGTCCTTTCTCAATTGCTGAGAAAGGAAAAGGCCCCGCCGAGAATTGAACTCGGGACCCCTGGTTTACAAGACCAGTGCACTGCCACTGTGCTACGAGGCCTCGTCTGTTGCGAGAGATACTCACCGTTTAAGCGATGTATTTGGATGATGAATATGGCTTCAACGGAGAATGTTTGTTTTCGTGTTGTCGATCTCGTGGCGCAATGGAAGCGCATCAGACTTCGGATCTGAGGGTTGCAGGTTCGAGTCCTGCCGGGATCGTTTTTTTTTCCCCTATTTTTTGCTGGCAATGCTTCACAGGAAATCAAAGAGAGAGAAAAGGGATCGCCTCGCGACGACGTGTGGGGCGAGAAGACCTGACTTGCTCCTCGGTGTGCTTCTGCAACGGTAACGCGCGCAAGGTGAGCTGCTCCGTTTCCGGCCTGACACGTTTCCTTGGCTTTAACGGTTTGAAGGAGCCTCTCTTCAGTGGCGCTTTCATGATTGGAACCGACGCGCAACCAAGCAGAACACCAAGTCTACGCAGCAGAACTTTCGCTTGTCCACACTTTCGCCGCTCGGATATCCAAGCCCCTCGCGCAGGGAGGTTACAGAGTCTGATGGTGCACATGTGTGACATGTACGCGCACTCCGGCTTGACAATAAGACTTTTGAATTTTACCAGAGATCCCAAAAGCTGTATGGAATCCAGAATGACAAAATATCTCCAAAATAATCTCATACATTTGTCATGCGGGCCCTTCTAGCTCAGTCGGTAGAGCGCACGGCTCTTAACCGTGTGGTCGTGGGTTCGATCCCCACGGGGGGTGTTTTTTTAAAAGAGAAAAATTTTGAAAAAAAACCATCCGTGACAGGACTCGAACCTGCAACCCTCTGATCCGTAGTCAGATGCTCTTCCATTGAGCCACACGGACGCGTGGTCAAAATCCCTTGTGATGAAATAAAATAGATTCCCAAAATGGACTTCGTCCCCACATCGGCAACTTCCAGAGTTTGCGTTCACATGAAAAATAAGACCGTACTCTGAACAGAATCGTTTTATGAGTACAACCTCTTAATTGAAAAATAACCGAGTTTCAAGTCCTGATGATGACGGTTGCTGGCTCCGCCCGGAGAGCGTTTCGATGAACGGCAGGAGCTGGTTCCAGAAGGATCTCTTTTTTTCTGTTGTTGTTCTTGTGTGTTTCGCTTCGTTTTTGAGGTGCGCTTCCCCATTTCTCAAACCTTTTTTCGTTTTCTTTTTCCCAAAAGGATGGCATCCCCCTTTTCCTTTCTCTCCCGCCCAAACTGAATCAACAAGACGGGCTCGTAGGCGCCTCGTAGTACCTTTACGGGAATGGTGTGCTTCAATGCGGCACACACGCAATAATTGAGACACCTATTTGCTTCACACCGCGAGTGAGTTCTTCTTCTTGCCGTTTCGGTGATTTAAAATAGGACCCCAGGAAAACCCATCTTCTACTGTGACCTAAGCTTATTCCTTCCGTCTCCGCACAAACTGCCCCTTCGCGGCAATTCCTATGAATAATGTATTTAAAAGGCAAAAATAGGTAAAACAAAAAGGACAACTGTAGCCGCGTGGAGAGCAGCGGCAGTTGGCGCAATGACGAGCAATGTCGACAAGACGCCAAAGAAGAAAAAAAAAACACATGCGCCCAGATGTGAAGGGCCTTTGCTTGTGTATGTGTGTGTGTGTGTGTGTTTGTTTGCTTACAACAAATTAAAGATAACCCTCATTAAATCCTACAGAAACCTCCTGCTGCCCAATCTCCTGCCGCTGGTAACACTGTTGCAGCGCCCTATTTTCCCGCCGCTCCCTTCCCAGCGTTGTCATGCGTCCGTGACCAGGCAACACGACGGTGTTATCCGGCATGGCCTCAAACAAACGCAGGCTCTCGGCAAGGCGGGTTCCTGTCGCCCATGGTAAGTCCACGCGGCCCACTTTGCTGTAAAAAAGAAGGTCCCCGGTGAAGAGGAGCTTTTCTGTGGGTGCGTGCAGCATCATGTGGCCTGGTGAATGGCCTGGGGAGAAGATGTAATACAGCAGCACACCATCCCCAAAGTCGATAAACGACGAAGCCCGATTCGTAGCAGTTGAAAGTAACATGT